CCATCACCCACTTTTGTAAATAAACAGCCACGACTGTTCATTTACACAGCTGGTGGTTGCGCTGAGTCTTGGCAACAGCGTTCCCACAACTTACAATCTGCTGTGTGATCCTTCGCGGGAAAAGTTTGCCGAGCCCCGCGCTAGAAGTCAGTTAATCCTCAGGTGTACCTTTAAACCAGGCTCTGGTAGCAAACCTCTTGCCCTGTTTCCAAGTGTTGGATAATTTTCTTTGGCATTGTCTAGGCCGGAAGGCTTATGTGTTAGGGAAGTTTTTGTAAGGCCTTTGCTGACGCCTCTTTTGAATGAACAGGCTGACCCCAGAAGAAGGCCCAGCCCAGGAAATAGGCCCCCTCCTGCTCTCGGGGGCTTCCCAGGAGGGCCTCAGATAATTGTCCTCTGCCCCATTGCTTCCTCCAATTGAGTTCTAGCCTCAGGTCCCCACAGAGTGACTGATGATAATGACAATGATGTGAATGATGGTGATAATAATAAAAATCACACCGTGTGTGCCGCCAGCTCTGACTCACAGGACCCTGTAAGAGAGTGTAGAACTGGCCCGGCGGGTTCCCACGGCTATAATCTTTACAGGAACGGATCACCAGACCTTTCCTCTGCCGAGCTGGCACGTGTGTTCGAACCCCCAACCTTTCAGTTAGCAGTCAAGCCGTTAACTGTTGCTCACAAACAGACAAGCCAAATCCGTTGCCGTGGAGTTAGCAGCTAGCAATTTGGTTAGCAGCCACCACAAAACAAAAACCCACTGCCTTAGAGTTGATTCTGACTCTCAGCAACCCTATATAGGATTTCCAAGACTAAGCCTTTGTTGGAGCAGACAGCCTCATTTTTCTCCCGCAGAGCCGCTGGTGGGTTTGAACCACTGTCCTTGTGAGTAAGACTCCTTAATAGCACCCCTTTGTGAGTGAGTGGATCACATCTGTTTCAAACAAAATTTTTAAAAAAACAGATGGTGGGTGTAGCCACACTCAGTGATGGAGACTTAGGAAGTCCTCTTGGTCCTGGGCTCCTCCTGGGCACCAGCTCTGTCTCAGGATTGTTGTGGAGGGAGGGTGTTGTAGGTACATGGCCTCTCCTCTTGCCTTCCCCCTTGGTCTGTCCTCTAGACAGACAGCAAGCACCCAAGAGAATTCTGTCAAGTGCTCTGTGCTCCGAGGAAAATGTAGTGGCTTCTGAGGGGGAGATGGGGGAAGGCTCTGAAATTCAGTGAAGAGATTGAAAGTTGGGTTCTTGGGTTGCATTCACCACATTCAGAAGCATGGTTGGTGGCTACCATGTTGGACAGTACAATACAGAACATTGCCATAGTTCTAGAAAGTTCCAGCAGGCTGCTGCTCATGTGCAGATACAACCTCGGGCTTCATCAGCTGTGGAAAGTTCTCTGCAACAATCGCAGATCCAAGGGTTCCGAGTGTTGTTGGGTGCTATCGAGCTGATTTGGACTCACAGCAGCCCAATGTGCGGTTTCTTAGACTGTCCTCTTTACGGAAGCAGATCACCAGGTGTTTCTACCACGGGTTCAAACCACCAACCTCTCAGGTAGCAGCCGAGTGCTTACTTGTTACTCCTTTTTGATGGATAACACTCCTCGGTGTCCAATTTGTATTTGGAACCATGCATGGACTGGGAGAAGAGAAGTTCCTTTGAGAACAGACTTTGCATGTTGCTGATGTCTGCCCAGGCTCAGGGAAGCCAGCTGGACCCCTGTGGTGGAAACACTCACACTATATGCTGGTTGGCTGCTCTGGGCTCAGTGACATCACAAGGCAGTAGTTAGTTGCCATGGAGCGGGATTAGACTCACGGTGACCCTATGCACAACAGAACAAAACGCCCCTCTGGCCATAGACTCTCTGTGGTCAGTGAGGCCCAGGCCAGCTATCATAGAGGAGGGACTTTCTCAAGGATAGTTAGGGAGAGGTAACTCACGAGACAGAAGAAGGGGTGAGTGACAGGTAGCTGCGGGGAGCTGGGCAGAGGCCTGCCACTGTGGGGACAGAAAACTCCACCTCCAGTTCTATGTCAGGCTCTGCTCCCCTCACATCATGCCAACAACCTCCCCCTCCTCCCCACTCATATTCTCCAGTGGGGGGGGGGGCGGGTTTAGGAGGGGACGGCTCTTGCCATATGCAGTCATATATTTGTGTGTGGTCCAAGCAATCCCCAGGAGGCACAAATGGTCAACGGGCTTGGCTAATAGCCAAAAGGTTGGAGGTTCGAGTCCACCCAGAAGTACCTCAGAAGAAAGGTCTGGCAAACTACTTCTGCAGAGTCAGCCATTAGAAACCCTATGGAGTACAGTTCTACTCTTACACACATGGGAGTTGGGGGGCAGGAGTTGGAGTCGACTCACAACATCTGGTTCCTTTGGTGCTATTGCTGGTGTTGTATCTAAAATCTTAAAACGCTTCTTACCTGTGCCTCTGTAATTTGTCTTACCGAGTCTGTATGAAACTAGAACATTTAACTCTAACAACAGGGAGATTATCACAGTGATACTTACAAAGACCGTGTAGCAACATGAAAAATATGATTATACTATAAACATCTAAACCCATCAAATAAGGATGGGGGCAGAGAGACCTTTTTAAATGATTCCTAGTTCACTCACAGCCTGATGATCTCCTTCTGAAAATTAGTGAATGAAGACTCTGGGTCACAGCAGTTCAGTCCATAACTGATGGCTGGGATGGTGCAGGACTGGGCAGTGTTTTATTCTCTGTGCCCCAAGTCCCCAGGAATTAAGGGCCAACTCAATGGGAGGTAACCACAGCAAACAGATTGGGAGGGAGATGGTTGTTACTGGATACTTTGGAATCAATTTCAACTGATAATGGACCCAGGTGACAGACTGGGACTTCCCCACAAGGTTTCTCGGCTGTGATCTTTCTGGAAGCAGCCCACTGGGTCGTTTCTACCATGGAGTCACTGGGTGGGTTCCAACTGCCAACTTTCAGTTAACAGTTGAGCACTTAACTGTGGCGCCACCAGGGGTCGCTGGCTGGTATGCATTCAGCAGCGAACGTTGAAAGATTGACAGTTCGGGTCCACCCAGAGGCACCTTGGAAGAAAGCCTGGAGTAAAATAAGTTACTGAAAACCCTATAAAGCGCAGCTCTACTCATTACACACAGGGTTACCATTGAGTCAGAGTGGGTTCTGCAGCATGCAGCGGTGCTAGTGTGTTCAAAGGAGTAATGTGTCTCCTCCACTGGACCATGCGACCTGGGAGGCCAGGTCTGCCATCATCTTAACCACACAGTCACTGCAATATTGGGAACAGTGTCTTAGCCAATGGGTGTAACAGACATAACACTTGGTGAGGGGCCTGATGGAGTCCACTGGCCACAGCCCACGATGACAGTTCCAGGAAACTTATAAGCTGGTTATTCAACACAGTTGCTATGATTGAACTGTGAACCACAAGGTAGGCAGTTCAAGCCCACCAGCCATTCTGTAAGAGGAAGATGAGACTTTCTGTTTCCACAAATATCGATAGCTTCAGAAACCCTGACCCAACTAGATGGCACTTAACAACAGCAAGCTATTAAAAATTAAATTGTATTAGCATAAATTGTATTTGCTATTTTCAAAACAAATGTAACGAGTACTCAAAACTTACCATTCCGTAATGATCGTTCTACATTGTACATTTATATATACTTGTATGATCATCTTGCTATTTTTGTATCTGTATGGTGGAAATACTATATAATGGTGTGCTACTGTATCTTTGGAATCCTGGTGTGGCACTGTGGGTTAATGCGTCAGACTTGCAAAGCCATTTGAACTGCAAGGTAGGTGGTTCGAGCTCACCAGCTGCTCCTCAGAAACACTTACAGGGTCTCTATGGGTTGGAATTGACTCGACGGCACTTTACAACAACTGTATATTTGGAATTCTGGTGTGGCACCTTAGGATAATGCACTCAACCTCAAAGTCAATGCCATTTAACAACAACAACAACAGCACTGTATCTTTGGAGTCCTACTGTTGCACTCTAAGATAATGCACTGGACTGCAAGGTCAATTTGAACCATATGGTGAAGGTTCAAACCCACCAGTCACTCCTCGGAAACCCTATACAGGGTCACTATGAGTTGGAACCGACTTGACGGCACTTGCCAATAAAAACTGTGTCTTTTGCCAGCTTTGGGTTTGATGACATCAGTTTGTTGTCAGCTCCAGTCCTTCGCCATTTTCCTGATGGGATAGTCTGCTTGAGATCATGGTTGTAACCATTGTGTATTTCAAGTGCCCTCCAACCTAGGAAGCTCATCTTCCAGTAGAATGTCAGGTGACACTCTGCTCTGATTGAGAAGGGTTTTACTGATGAATATTTGAAAGCAGATCTCCAGGCATTTCTTCCTAGTCTGTCTCAGTCAGGAAGGTCCACTGAAACCTGTCCACCCTGGGTGACCCTGTTGGTACTTGAAATACCAATAGCCTAGCTTCTAGAATCACAGCAACATACAAGCCACCACAGTGTGACAAACTGATATAGGCCACAGATCAGGGTCTCTTCTCCCTCCTTTAAAAACCCAAAACCAAACCCACTGTGGCTGAGTCAGTTCTGACTCATGGCACTCTGTCGTATGTCAGAGCAGAACTGTTTTCCACAGGGTTTTCTTGGCTGCCATTTTTGTGAAAGTTGATTACCAGGCCTTTCTTCTGAGGTGCTTCTAGTGGGTTCACACCCTTTAGGTTAGTAGCCACATGTAGATCATCTGCAGCACCCGGGGACCTGTCTCAGGTGGTCCAATGCAGTCTCAGGTGGTCCAATACAGTCCCTGGTTTGGGACTTAATGAGTTTACGGGATATGCCTAGCATTAAGTGGTGACAATTACTGTTAGTATTTTGCTTAGCTTTCCCTCCTCAGCCCAATGGAGCTCTGTGGGCCACCAGGGAACCTTCCAGGATTGCCACCCGTGCACACTCTTGCAGGGGCAGAGCCGCTGACCCACTGTGTTTTCTGTTTCCCTGCAGTCTGTCCCACCATCTGCAAGTCCCACGGCTGCACTGCTGAAGGCATGTGCTGCCACAGCGAATGTCTGGGCAACTGCACCGAGCCAGATGACCCCACCAAGTGCATAGCCTGCCGCAATTTCTACCTGGACGGCCGCTGTGTGGAGGCCTGTCCACCTTCGTACTATCAGTTCCAGGACTGGCGCTGCGTGAACTTCAGCTTCTGCCAGGACCTCCACAACAAATGCAAGAGCTCCCGAAAGCAGGGATGCCACCAGTACGTCATTCACAACAACAAGTGTGTCTCCGAGTGCCCCTCAGGATACACCATGAATTCCACCAAGTAAGTCCTGAGGGAGAGGGGAGCGAGCAGCTTAGATCTGTGTGTAAACTCCTGAGTTGATGGGTTACAAGTGAGGGAGGCTCCCTCAGTATCAGTTCTGGGTGCCAGTGAGTTGATGCCGACTCGCGACACCCCCACATGCATCAGAGCAGAACTGTGCTCCATAGAGCTTACAGTGTTCGGGCTTGTTTTTGGTTTTTTCCCCGGGCTTGATCACTAGCCTTTCTTCTGAACCACCAAAACTGCCCATGTTTCAAATAGCAGCTGAACACGTTAACTATTTGCATCACCAGGTTCTCGCAGATATTTTCTCCTTGGCCCTCGGTTTTAGGTCAGGCACTGGCAAGCTTTTTCTATAAAGAGCCAGCTGTTAGATATATTTGGGGTTACGAGCCACACAGTCTGGTCGCAACCACTTGGCACAGCCCACCATAGCATAGAAGCAGCCACAGGCAGTATGTAAACACATGGCAGTGTCTTTGCCCAAAGAGAACTTGAAAAAAGCAGAGAGTGGGCTAGATTTGACTCACCTGGGCCCTGATCTAGCAGAGTGACAAGACTGGAGTTGCGGGCGTGGGGCGGGCGCTCATCATTGTTGATGCAACAGGGTGGCGGGGCAGATCTTACCTGGTTCCCCAGGGTCTGCAATTCTGGCTTCTACACGAGGACCACCCTGACCACCTTCATCTCAGAGCTCACCACTCCTTCAAGACGCTGCTTCCTTCTTGGACGCAGAACTCAGGCCCTTTCCCGATCTCATCCCCTGGACTTTAAAACATCAGACACCTCTGACTATCCACATTTAGCTGCTTCCTAACCTGGCTGGGACTGGAAGCAGTGGTGGTCCAGTGGGTGGAGACCCGGGTTCAATTCCCAGCGAATGCCTCACACGCAGCCACCATCTGTCTGTCAATGGAGGCTTGCGTGTTGCTAAGATGCGGAACAGATTTCAGCAGGGCTTCCAGATGAAGACAGAATAGGAAGAAACGCCTGGTGATCCACTTTGGGAAATCAGCCAGTGAAAACCCTATAAGATCCCAATGACCCGGTCCGGATCCCATCATGCAATGTTTTATTTGTAGTTGGATTTGATGGCAGCCAACAACAACAACAACAACAAACGGGCCAGTCAGGAAGCAATTGAAGGGGTACAGTCCCTGCCCTGGGGGCGCAGTAGTTAAATCACCCATCAGCTAAGCCGAAGGTCGAAGGTCGGCTGTTCGAGCTCACCAACTGCCCCCGGGGAGGAAGATGTGGCAGTCTGCACCTGTAAAGGTGACTGCCTCGGAAATCCTACGAGGCACTTCTACTGTGTCTGACACGGTCACTGCAACTTAGAATCAGCTCACCGGCAGTGGGTCTGGAATGGGTACAGTCCACCACCCAAGGCTTTGTGTTGGGGCTGGCCTCTGGAAGTAGCCTCTACGATCAAGGTCTTCAGCAGGAGGGTGGAGGGGAGCATCTTGGCAACGATTCCTGGGAAGAGCTCCTCCGGGAAGCCAAGTTGGGCACCACCAGCTGTGGTGCTGTATCTGGTCACCCCCCGAGGGACTTTGAAGCAGGGCTGGTCCTACAGAGATGTCCTGGATCCAGACTCTGGACAGGGCCTTTGGACCTGCTACTGATAAGGGGCTGGACCCCATGCAGAGTGGCACCCAAGGCCAACTGCCTTCCTTAGAATCCACAGTGCCTGGGGACTGTGTCTCCTGCCCGTAGGAGGGCTGGGTGGCTTGTTATGGATGCCACAATTTGACAGCTTCCTCTGTCCATCTTCATCCCCACTGTGCCTGCTGGGGCCCCGACTCTGGTCAAGAACACACCACTAGTGTCTGAGCTAATCTGTCAAGCAGCCACAGTGGATGGAATCCTGAAACCCATTCCCTGACCCTGCATCTCTTCCACACACTGCTGATGGGTTCACTGGGCCATTCTCTGAGATGGGGTGTTGAGCAGCATCCCTGGCTTCCACACACTCAGTACCAGTTGTACCCCCAAAGTCATGGCCATCACAGATATTCCCAGATGTCACCCATAGTCCTCAATTGAGACTGACAGGATTAGGGGATTCCTAATCAGGAAGACTGTAGAAGAATTGATGCATTTGAGCTCTGGTGTTGGAGGAGAATATTCAAGGTACCATGGACTGTCAAAAGAACAAACCAATCTGTGTTGGAAGAAGTGCAGTCAGAGTGCTCCTTAGAAGCCAGGATGGCCGGACCTCATCTCTTATCTATCAGAAGGGACCAGTTGCTGGAGAAGAACATCATGGTTGGTAAAGTGGAGAGGCAGCATAAAAGGAGAAGACCCCCCGTGAGATGGATTTGGTTCAGCAACGAGCTGAAGTGTGGCAATGATTGTGAAGTCGGCACAAGACCGGGCAGTGTTTCGTTCTGTTGTTCTGTCATAGCGTACGTAAGGTTGCTATGTGTCGGTACTGACTCAATGGCACCTAACAACAACAACAATCAGTACCTTCCAAAGTCCTAGCATGCTGCCCACAGTTAAACACACACACTGAATGGGGAAGGGTGGGGGGCTCACTTGCTCTGGTGCCCACCATCCAACCCATTGGGAATTTATTCAGCTGGAGAGTGTGGTGCTTGGGATAAGCACTGGACTGTTAACCACAAGGTTGGAAGTTCAAACCCAATCAGTTGCTCCTTGGAAACCCTATACAGGATTGCTGTGAGTCGGAACTGACTTGAAGGCCCCTAACACCAACAACAACAGAGGGTGAGCAGGAATGGAACTGTTCCCCCACAAAAAATAATTAACACAAGGATTCTCTGCCTCAATACTGCAGACATTTGGGGTCAAATCATTGTCTGAGGTGGTGTCAAGCAGAAAGCATCCATGGTCTCCACCAACTCAGTTGACCCCCAAAGTTGTGAGAACCATAAATGTGGTTAATACATTTCCCAGTGCCCCCTTAGCTGGTGCGTGTCCGCAGCATAGAGAAGTGCCCTCCTCATCAGTACACTGCAGTATGTTTCTAAGCCATCAGGTCCTCAGCTCCCCCCAGACCCCCGCCCCCGTGTAGACTGGACTGCCCGCACGTTTGGTGTTTTCCCCTGTGCATTAACCCGGGTGCCCTGTCTCCAGGAGGAAGCGCCCTTCTTCCACATCCTTCCCAGGGCTGTGTTGTTTTTGAAGGACGGTTGGCCGCCAAACCATTTCCGATCATTTGGGTGAGAAAGCAGTCTTTTCCCCCCCGCGGAGGTGAATCAGCTTTCCACCTGCCCTGGAGACCGTTTTGTTCATGCCCGGAGCTTCTTCAAGGAGCTATTTCGGTGTCTCAGGGTCGTAACCGAGTTTAAAAATCTGTTTCCTGGTTTTTGTGTTGAGAGGTTTACGGAAACAAAACACCCCCAAACAAAATCGGAAACGGACGCTTGTCCGAGGGCCTGGCAACTGACCTGCCCCGTAGAAAGCCTTCCTCTCGGGCCTGAGAAACTAACCACGCCAGTATGTTCTGGCGGGAAATTTCATTTCCCTGGGTGGAGAGGGCGGGAAGGAAAACAGCCTTTATTTCGGGGCTTGGGAACCTCTCTCCCGCCGTGGGCGAAACCTGTGAGTACGATACGTTTTGTCTTACTCGTTTTTGATAAAAGCCTATCAAGCGCCTTTTGTTGGCTAAAAATAGACCACTATAAATCACCATTGCCCTCCAGACGGAGCTGTTTTTTGCCAGTTCATCAGTAAGGTTGGAAAAAGGATTCTGTTTCTTGGGATTCGTTTCTGTTTTTTCATGTTTATGTTTGGAATAAAGAGTAGCTATTAATGTCTTCTGCACGAGGTTGGTAGTTTAAACCCACCAGCTGCTCCTCAGAAACCCTATACTCATAGGGTCTCTCTGAGTCAGAAACACAACATTAATGTCTGCTAGTGAGCCCTGGTGTGGCACTGTAGAATAAGCATTGGACTGCTGACCAAAAGGTCAGTGGTTCAAACCCACCAGCTGCTCTCAGAAACTCTCTACAAGATCACTATGAGTCAGTTCATTGCTGACAGGAAGGCAATTAACAACAAAACAGTGATACTTTTGTTTAAAAGACATTAATTAGCTCAATTTAGTGGCAAGGCTAATAATAAGACATTAGCTTTGAACTAATGGTATTTTCTGCAGAAGAAAAATCAGAAGACTAGGCTCATGGGTTAGATAGATAGAGACCGGTGGAACCCGAGACTGTAGCCCTTAGTCACCCTCCAAGCCTGGAACCGAGCCGGCTCAACTTTTCCGCCAAACAATAGACAGGCCTGTAAGATGAACAATAACATCACAGAGGTCGGCGCTCCTTAGAACTATCAATCATAGAGCAAAAGGGCAGCATTTGTCAAGGGCTAAAGCTCAGAAGGCAGGAAGGGATAGAATGGAATGGAAAACACAGGGAGGAAGTAGGAAGAGCGTTGTTACATTGTAGCGACTGTACTCAATGACACAGAACAAACAAATGTGTACATTTTCTTGTATGGAACACAGATTTGCTCTGTAAACTTTCACTCAAACCACAATAAAAAAAGTTCCCTTTTTTTTCAAAGACCCAATTAGGAACAAATCTGTTTATAACGTTGGGACTGAAGTTTTGGAAATAATGAGAATGTAGCCACAATGTATTGAGCCCTGGTAGTGCTATGGGTTAGGCATTAGGCTGCTAACTGTGTGGTCGATGGTTCAAACCCACCAGCCGTTCCAAGGAAAAAAGATAAGGCCGTCTGTCCCTGCCAAGATTCACAGCCTTAGAAACCCAACACAGGGTCACAATGAGTCAGACACAACTCAACGGAAGTGGCTTTGGGGGTTTGGAGCCACAATATGGAAAATGTAACCAAAATCACAAAACAATTTGTGTCAAAATTGTTAAATGGGAACCTACTGTGCTGTGTAAATGTTCACCGAAAACACAATAAAATATATATGTTTTAAATCAGTGGTGTTTTCCTTCCCGACAAATAAAACCAAGAAAAATTACCGAGTTAACGTCTCGTCAGTCCTGACTCATAGTGACCTCACCTGCTTCCTAGCAGAACTGCACGCCACTATACGGTGCCTGTCAGCTCACCAAGGGTCGTCCTGGTGGCACAAGGTTTAAACACTTGGATACCAATGGCAGTTCAAACCCACCCATCACTCCATGGTGATTCTGGTAGCGTAGTGGTTATGAATTGGGCTGCGAACCTCAAAGTCAGCAGTTCGAAACTACCAGCTGCTTCGTGGGAGAAAGATGAGGCATTGTGATCCCATAAAGATTTACAGCCTCGGAAACCCTGTACAGGTTCGCTATGGGTCGGAACCAAGTCCATGGCACACAGTCACCAGCCACCACTGTCATGTGGGGTCACTGTGCATCAAACATCAACAGTAATCTTAGGGAAGTAGATCTCCAGGACTTTCTTCTGCAGCACCTCTAGGTAGATTCAAACCGCTAACCTTTCAGCTGGTGGTTAAGTGCTGAACCATGTATACTAATACCCTGGAGCTCCGTCCTGATAACTAAGAAATGCAGGGATCTCCTTTGGCGCTGGGTCACTGAGTGGTGTAAAGGCCTAGCGCTCTCGGCTGCTCATAAAAAAAAAAAAAAAAAAAAAAAGGTTGGCAGTTCAGCTCCACCCACAGGTACCTCAGAAGAAAGACCTGGCAGTCAGTCGATTTCCAAAAGTCACAACTGTGAAAACCCCATGGAGCACATTTCATGGAACATTGGAGTCGACTTGGTGGAAACCAGTTCCATTGATGACATTGCTGATACCCTCGTGGCCCGTGGAGTAGACCCCTTAGGAAGTGAACGGACGGTGTTTCTTGCAAACCCAACACTTGGAGTTTCTCCTCACCAAGTAGAAGAGGGTGGTGTGGAGGATGCTAGCCGTGACTCACTGTGACAAGGCTTTGACAAGGTCTTAAAAAGAAATTTTATATTTTTCCTTCTGAGGCTTTAATTTTGCTTTGTGAAAGACTGTAGTACTATTTATTATCTTTTAATAATGGTTTGATGGTGAAAGGATATGTAGCAAAACGTTTGCCAGTTCCAGAATCTTTCATGGGTAGAGGCACTGACTGGGTTCATCGTTGTGCATCCATCACCACTGTGTGGCGCTATCGGATCAGCACTGCACTGCTAACCACAAGGTTGGCAGTTCAAACCCACCATCCGCTCCCTTGGAAACCCTATACAGGCTCACTATGAGTCAGAACCCACTCGATGATACTTAATTTCCAAATTATCCGTCCACTGTTCACAGAAACTCAGTGTCTCCTCAGCTAAGACTTGCCCTTTCCTTGCTCCCACCTGCCTCTGTAGCCAGCAATAACTCTGCTGCCCATGCACTTGCCTGTGCTAGATACTTCATATACGTGAGATCAGACATTACTTGTCCCTTTGTGACTGACTGACTTCGCTCAGCGTATAGTCAAGGTTCACTCATGGTGTGGTGCGCATGAGGACTTCATTCCTCGTTATGGCTGAATAGTATCCCATTGTACAAAGGCAAGTCAAAAATCAAAGAATCCTGGATTAAACAGAAATATCGAAGTGTGAAGTGATTCTGTCTCAACATACCTGCCATCTCGGTGTCTAACACTCCTGAAGGCACTGTTTCCACATCTCTAACCGTCCATCCATCTCTGGGAGAGATGTACAGCCTTGGAAACCCCAATACAGGGTCACTATGAGTCGGAACTGACTCAGTGGCAGACATCACCACCACCACCCCCCAACAGCCCTTCCCCGAAGAATTCTTCACTCTTTGATTTACACCACGTCAGAGCAGTAGTTTTAGCATCCTCAGGCGACTTGAATTGTGTTCCTTTTCACCATTCTTTTGAGTTCAGGGGACAAAAAAATGTCTGAAGGACCAAGATCAGGACTGCAGGATGGCTGGGGTAATGTTTCCCAGTGAAATTCTCATAGGATTAGCCTTGCTACCTGTGAAGAACAAGCAGGTGCATTGTCGTGATGGCAAACAATCCCTGACAGTTTTCCTCACCAATGCAATTTTCCGTTTTCCTAAAGCTTCTTCCTAATAAGCCCCTGTGATCATCCTGTATCCTTGGAGAAAATCGATCACAATGACTCCTTTGGAATGGTCCCCAGATACAGTCACCATAATAATCTTCTGCTTTGAATTGAAAGGCCCAGCAGATCCCCTCGGAAAGAAGCTACTGTTTTGATTGGACGTTTTTCATTTGGGAAGTGCTTTAAGGAGACTAAGACAGGTGTATTACTCCATGCACTGATCAGAGACTTGTTTACACACGTTTGTAGTAAACCCATGCCTGTATGAACTGGAGCCTTAGTAGCAATCCTTTACTTACCCTCGTAGGGATGAACTACGTTTTGTTTAGCTGAGTCTGGTCACTTAGAGGTGAAAGTGGGAGCCCCTGACTTCCAGAAATGCTAGAGGTTCTGTGACACATAAATCTCTCTTTAGGGCAGCGATTCTTGCCAAGGGATGGTTGGCACCCCTAGGGGATATCAGGCCACGTCTGAAGACATTTGTGGTTGTCACAACTGCAGTGGGGGAGTAGGTGGGTGTTATTGACATGGAGTAGGAGGATGCTAGGAATGGTACTCACATCCTACAACTAACAGGATGGTCCCTTACTAAAGAGAAGGTTCCAGCCCTGAATGCCACAGGAGCTGGGGTTGAAATCTTAGTCTGGCCACCTAGAATGCTGACTGCCAGGTCAGGGGTGGGGGGATTTCGTGCACCACCCTACAAGGTCCACCCTGACCGCTGTGACTGTGTTCTTTCCTCAGCCTCCTGTGCTCTCCATGCCTGGGTCCCTGCCCCAAGATTTGCCAAGTCCTGGAGGGCGAGAAGACTATCGACTCAGTGACATCCGCCCAGGAACTCCGAGGGTGCACCGTGGTCAACGGGAGTCTGATTGTCAACATCCGAGGGGGCAGTGAGTCCTAGGGCAAGGGCTGGGTGGGCAGGTGGATGGAGGGGCAGTTGGGACCGTGCTGGGCTCCACTGTCCCCAGGAGGAAAACAGTCAAACCAAGAGCCACTCCGTAACTGGGCTGCCTCCCCTGAAGAATTGGTGACCCCAGGTGTACAGAGTAGGACGACTCCACGGGGCTTTCAAGGTGTGGTCTTTCAGAAACAGATTGTCAGTTCTTTCTTCTGAGGTACCTCTAGGTCAGTGCAAACCGTCAACCTTTCATTTAGCAACGAGTACATACCCACTTACACCTACCTCCCAGGGACTCCGATGCTCCCAGGACAAAGAACCTGGCGCTCACAGAGTCCCTGAGTTACTCAGAGGCTTTCAGCAGCATGCGTCACTGGCCCCCCACCCCTGTTTGTTGGACTCCAGGAAGGATTTGTTTCAAAACCAGGAATCAACAGCTTCGTCCTAAACCTGCCCCCTCCACCCCCCAGGCTTCTGTTTCTCCATGTTTGGATTTTGACCATCTAGAAATTTGCTTTTGTGCGTGTGTGTGTGTGTGTGTGTGGTCACAACATTATATAGCAAGGTAATTGCCACTTCGACATTTTCCACACATCCACTTCAGTGCCGTTGGTGCCCTTCGCCATGGGGTACAATTGTCACTGTCGGTTCCCAAGCCACAGTCCTGTTGTCGGGCTCTGTGGACCACTTTTAAGGAAACCTGTCGTTTCAACCACAGTGCCAAAGTTTAACTTTTTTCTGCCCCTCCTTTTTCTTTATTTTGAAAAAAAAGACCATCTCGGGTAAAAAAGCATCGCTTATGTCTATTTAATGGACTTATGGTGTGGCACTGTGGGTTAATGTGCTGGACTGCAAAGTCAATTTGAACCACAAGGTTGGCGGTTCAAGCTCACCAGTCGCTCCTTGGAAACCCTATACAGGGTCACTATGGGTCAGAACCGACTCGACGGCACTTAACAACAACAACAAATGTCTTTTGAACCTGCAAATATTTGTTAAATACTCACAGTGAACAAGGCAAAGCCCTTCCTGAGGCAGATCTTACAAATATCCGAGCCAGTGTGCAGTAAAAGATCTGGTAGTGGCCAAAACACCAGTGGCCAGTGCAGTGTCCGTTTGTTAATGTTGCTCTGATGCTGGAAGCTACAGCACTGGTATTTGCAACACCAGCAGGGTCACCCATGTTGCTGGACACGTTTCAGCAGAGCTTCCAGATTAAGAGAGACTAGGAAGAAAGGCCTGGTCATCTACTTCTGAAACTCAGCCAATGAGAACTCAGTGAGTCACAACAGAGTATTGTCTGATAATAGTGCTGGCAGATGAGCCCCCTCTCGGTGGGAAGGCACTCTTAAGACACAGTGGCCAGACACGTGGGCTCAGCCATGCCAACAGTCGTGAGACCGCCGCAGGGCTGGGCAGCGTGAGTCAGAGCCAACCGACTTCATGGGAACTGAGAGCAGTGACAAAGCCCACGGTGAGGACTTCTGTTGCCTTCTGAGCACGGTGGGTTTTGAGCAGAGCACGTGGAACTCATTTGCTGCCTGTAGGTTGACTCCAAGGAGCCCTGGTGATGCCATCAGTAAGCAACTAACTGCTAACTGAATGACTCCATGGGAGAAAGCCATGACGGTCTGCTCCCGTAAAGGTGGCCGCTTTGGAAGCCCAATGGGGCCATATACTCAGCTCTCTAGGGTCCCTCTTGACTCAGAATTGACTTGATGGAAACAGGTTTTGGGTTGTTGGGGTTTTTATATGTCGTTTAATTGTTTTTTAAGGTTGACTCCTCACTGTGGATTATGGGATGGTGAAAATATTTCTTTAGAAACTCACTGAATATTCTCTATTTTTCCCTAGACAACCTGGCATCTGAGCTAGAGGCCAACCTTGGACTCATTGAAGAGATTTCGGGGTATCTCAAAATCCGCCGCTCCTACGCTCTGGTTTCCCTTTCCTTCTTCCGAAAGCTTCGTGTCATTCGAGGAGAGACCCTGGAAGTAGGGTATGTGTGCCCAGTGCCACAAACTCAACAAGTTTTGTGAATTAGAGACATTTAGAGGCAGTAATATGTTCATTAGTGTTCTTGCTTTCCCTGCAAGAGACGTGAATTTGATCCCCAGCCAGCTCATCTCATACACAGCCACAACCTGAATGTCAGTGGAGGCTTGCATGTTGCTATAATACTGAACAGACTAAGATCAGGAAGAAAGGTCTGGCAAACTACTTTCAAAAATCAGCCCATGAGAACCCTGTGGATCACAGTGGTCCTACCTGCAGCGGCTATTGGGGATGGCAGTGCATGGGGTCACCATGAGTCAGAAACCAGCAATGACAACAGTTCTGATAGCCACATTTCAGTAGCTCAAGAACCACCCGTAGCTGATGAATTGGACAGAGCAGGTCTCGACACTTCCTTATCCCATCCATTGCAGACAGAGTAGTCCACTAATGGTTGGAAAGAACAGGTTGAATCAAGTCACTGAGCTGTTCTAGAACCATCCACAGTCTTCCTCTGCCAATCGAGGCGGGTCACGCAGTCTAGCACGCAGTATTCCAGAGGCATTGGCCCATGTTAGCCTTTCTAGCCTGCTTCCTGTGTCCTCTCGGGCCAGAGCAGACCTTTCTGCTCTCCCTGGCAGGCCCACACTGCACTTAGTTTCCATTTCTTCATTCCTTGCCCTGTGCAAAACCAGTATCTCAATCCATAACCATCTCACCCTCCCTCCCTTAGGGACCAAGCTTAGACACCTTCCTGGTCATAGAGACTTCCTCCACGTCCTCTCTCTCCCCACTCACCAATGCTTACCGAGCATGTGCCAAGTACATGATAGGACCCGGGTTTAGCACTGAACACAGACGCACCCCAGACCTGTTGCCGCCATCTTGGAGTTAGTTGGTGCAGATGGGCGTTGAGTGACTTGATGTGTGTGTTTCTTTAGGAACTACTCCTTCTACGCCTTGGACAACCAGAACCTAAGGCAGCTATGGGATTGGAACAAACACAACCTCACCATCTCTCAGGGGAAACTCTTTTTCCACTATAACCCCAAACTCTGCTTGTCGGAGATTCACAAGATGGAAGAAGTGTCAGGAACCAAGGGGCGTCAGGAGAGAAACGACATTGCGCTGAAGACCAATGGGGATCAGGCATCCTGTAAGTGGACAGATAGCATGGCTGCCCTCCCTGCACTGGTCAGTGGGGGTGGGGTGGGGGTCTGCTCTGTGGTGACCCAAGACAACCACAGCTAGGTAAGACTTGCTGAAATACTGAGGGCAAGCATTGAACACCTTGTCTCTGTGCCTATTTCCCTGAGAATGATATCTGATACCTGGAAGGTGCCAAGTAAGCATTGCAGGAATGGACGGATGGATGGGTGGATGGACAGATGGCCGGCCGGATGGATGGATGGGTGGGTGAGTGAATGGATGGATGGATGGATAGATGGATGGGAGGGTGGGTGGATGGACGGACGGATGGATGGGTGGATGGGTGGGTAGCTGGATGGATGGATGGATGGATGCCTGAAGGAGTGAGTGGACATGAGTGTGACTCTGCGACACCTATGTACCTGTACCAAGTGCTAAAGCTGGAGAGGTTCTGAAATGAGTGAGTGATTGTATCAGTTTGGTAAGACTGGGAAGCAAATTCCAAGGTGAAGTCAGAAGTGCAAACCAAGTATTGGGGGTAATGTCTTTGCAACATAAAGCGATGAGGAAGGAATCTTGGGCAGGGAGAAGCTTCAGACTTCAAAAGTCAGTGTGCAAGGCATCATTGTGTTTCCCTTGAAGATCCCAGTAACGGCTGGGTATTCTCTGACGTTGGGGTAGACAGCTATTACTCATTTGGGGTTGCATTAGGGATCTGGCTATGTGGCTAATTCTTACGTTTAAACCATGCCCCACGTCCCTTCCCCCTCTCCCACTGAGTGAAGTGAGGTGGGGACTCAGGGAGAGGCACTTTAGAACGAACAACACAGAATGTCAGAACGCCCCTCCTCACAGCAGCTCGTGAGAATGTACCATCACCCGCTTCGGCCTGAAGCCACTTTTTTTTTTTTTTTTCCGGTTTTTGTTTTCTAGGTGAAAATGAATTACTTAAGTTTTCTTACATCCGGACATCTTTTGACAAGATCTTGCTCAGATGGGAGCCGTACTGGCCACCCGACTTCCGAGACTTGCTGGGGTTCATGCTTTTCTACAAGGAGGCGTAAGTACAAGAGGAAGGTGTTCAGGAGATGGCCATGTGTTTGTGTGTGAACCACGGTCACATCTGGGGCTCCCCTCAATCACAGTGTAGATCTCATCACACTCTCTCACTCTGTGACGGTGTGCGGTACTTTGTCAAAAGCCAGACACTGAAGCAAATAGGTCAATTTTGGAAACCTAGATTGGCCACATTTCTGGGGGAATAATCCATTCTGCCCTTCATGGTACGACTTAGAGGCATCCTCAGCCAACTACACAACTGGGCTGGAATTTTAAGGATGGTAGTGAGAATAGAAAGAATGACCTGGCATTCAACTTGCAAAAATTTGCCAGTGAAAAACCTTATGGTTCAGAATAATCTGATGCACAGACAGACGATCTTGGGGATGGCACAGGACCGGGCAGTGTTTTGGTCTCTGGTTGGTGGGGTTACCGGGAGCTGGGGGCCAACTTGATGACCACTTAACAACAGCAAGAATACTGGTCCAGGCAGTGTGATACTAGTGATATCACTGATTGTTCCATCTCTCAAGATTTATCACGTGGCCACATTTTCTGTCATGTTATCTTAACGATAACTCACGAGGTTGCTGCTGCTTTTATTGTTGTTGTTGTTTGTCATTGTTGGGAAATTAAGACTTGGGGTGACTGTCACTTTCTTTCTGGCTACTCCTCTTTGTGTTTCCCTGAGGGGTGCCCTGAAGTCCCCTTTAAGCAAAGAACTCATCAAGAGTGTCTGCTTTGAGCATTATGCTCTTTTAAGATCTACCGAGTTAAGCTTTAGGCTGCTAACTGACGGTATTGTGGTTCGAACCCACCAGCCATCCCGTGGAAGAAAGACAGACAGACTCACTGACAATGGCCACTTAAAAGGAGGGCACAAGAGGAAGCCTGAGTGGCAGAGAGTTCATGTCTGTGCATGTCTGTGGGAAAGAGTGGAATGGAATCAGCATCGCTAACTGCACATGTAGAAATTTGTCCAATGGGTATGCGAAGGGGCTTCAAACAGTTCTTGGGAAAATCCCACTGTCTTTTCATTCCAGTCATCCATGAACTTTTGAATCCCCTGCCTACATTCTGCTGTGCTCATTCTCAACAATGACAACAAGTAAATCTATAACTTCTAGACAAAGAATAAGATTGGGCGGGTGACCAGCGTGCTGCCCAGCAGAGCCAATTATAACTGACCCAGCCAGCTCTGTGCCGCCCCCCTCCCCGAGGAGATGATAACCGCTCTCCCATTTTGTCTTGGAAGCCCCTATCAGAACGTGACGGAATTCGACGGGCAGGACGCTTGCGGTTCCAACAGCTGGACGGTGGTGGACATTGACCCGCCCCAGAGGTCCAACGACCCCAAGATACAGGCTCACCCCGGGTGGCTGATGCGGGGTCTCAAGCCCTGGACCCAGTATGCCATCTTTGTCAAGACCTTGGTCACGTTTTCCGATGAGCGGCGGACCTATGGGGCCAAGAGCGACATCATCTATGTGCAGACAGACGCCACAAGTAAGTGTTGTGAAACGGAACTAGTTAACAGGCTTTGGTTTCCCAGTAACTCGGGAGCTCTGGTGGCATGGTGGTTAAAGTGGTCAGCTGCTCACTAAGAGGTCAGCTCTTTGAAGGCACCAGTCCCTCTCCAGGAGTAAGACCCTGAGAGGCCTTGGAAACCCCACGGGGCATCTCTCTTCTGCCCTATAGGACGGCTTAGGAGTCAGTGTAACAGCAGTGGATACAATGTCAGAACCAAGACCGGACAACTGTGTTTAATTGTGAAAAACTTGAATTTGATCCCTGCTCACCCCCAAAATAAACTCCCAATGGGTCAGCTGGGTGGCTCTCACATTTCTGGGACTTCTTGCCTCTCTCCTCCCCACTCAGTGTGTGGATTTCAATGTGGGAAACATTCTAGGAAGTCAGGTGGCCAGATCATTAGGAAGAAAGTCCTGGCAATTGACTTCATAGATTGTCTTGGGGGTAATTAAAAAAATAATCAAAAGTGTGAACATAAGGTTTGGTCTGTGCAGTTATTCTATGTGCATGTAGGAAGGCCATAATTGTTTCCAGAAAAACCAAACAGCTTGAAGAAGCAAGGTACCAATAGGCTCATAAAGGGAAGAAAAAAACACAGGGATCCAACCCACTGCTACTGAGTTGGTTCTGATTCATCGCGACCCTATAGGATGTAGCAGAACTGCTCCGTGGGGTTTCCAGCTTGTAGATCTTTACAGACGCAGGCTGGCGCATCTTTCCGTCAGGACTTGTGTGAATTTCAACTCACCTTTCAGTTAGCAGCCTGACACTTAACCACTGCGCCACCAGGCTCCTCATATAAAGAGAAGATAAAATATAGACAATTAACCATTGCCTAAGTCCTAGTATGATGCTGTAGGGTACGCACTGAACTGCCAGCCACAAGGGTAGCAGTTCAAACCCACCAGACTCTCCTCGGACATCCTATACAGGGTCACTATGAGTCAGAACCGATTCGACAGCAGTTCATCAACAACAATCTCAATGTCACTGAATTCTGCCTTTCCCCAGCTACTAAGATCAACTGATGCCACCTTACTTCTGGCCCATTGTTAAGCGCCATCAAGTCGGCCCTGCAGCGAACATCCACGTGGTTTAAATAACATTGCAGCCAACATCCTCCTGATCCCCTTAACTTGTGCACCAGCCAGCCAATGACCTAAGCTCTCATCCTCACATACTCACGGTGGCCTTGTGTCTTTTCTCTTTCCAGATCCTTCTGTCCCCCTGGATCCCATCTCAGTTTCTAATTCCTCATCCCAGATTCTTTTGAAATGGAAGCCTCCCTCAGACCCCAACGGCAATATCACCCACTACCTGGTGTTCTGGGAGAGGCAGGTGGAAGACAATGAGCTGTTTGAGTTGGATTATTGTCTCAAAGGTGAGTGGTCCAGGTGTGCTGGGAACAGTCTCCCACACGTGTGGTCCACTTTGCCCCCTTCCCAGGGAAGCACGTCTTCCCATTTCACACATGTGCGCATACCATTCTGTCTCATATGAAAACACACAAAGTACACACCCTAAAAGACATCCAAGGGGGCTCCGAAAATTTTATGGGGAAATTCCATTATCTGTTCGTTCTATTTTTCCATGGACTTTATGAAGCGCCTTCCCTCGTATGTCCAAACTAGACAACCCGTACCCTGGCACCAGCTCCCGCGAGTTTTCTCCTCCCCATTCTCCCCTCCTCCATCCTTTCCCACAACCTTATCCATTCTGTTGTGAATGTACATGAGTTAACCCCTACAGGACTTCTGTGCAGAGCTGGGAACACAGGCAGGCATGCTGAGTCATTGACAAAGGTGGGGAAGGGTCGGGGCCCCATTTAGACCCTTTAATTTGAGAAAATGAATTAATGAAACTCAGTGGTAGAATTCTCACCTCCCATATGGGACACCCAGGTTCCAATCTAAGCCAGTGCCCTTCATAATTGGTACCAGTTGTCTGCCCATGGTAGACTTGGCTGGGGCTAGGAGACTGAACAGGCTTCAGCAGAGCTTTTAGGGTAGAAAGATTAGGAAGAAAGGCCTGGTGATCTTTCTGAAAACCAGCGAGTGAAAGACAGGCTTGGCTGGGGCTAGGAGACTGAACAGGCTTCAGTAGAGCTTTTAGGGTAGAAAGATTAGGAAGAAAGGCCTGGTGATCTTTCTGAAAACCAGCGAGTGAAAACTCTCTGGTTCACAACTGTCTGATCCTCAATTGATCATGAGGATGGTACAGAACCGGGCAATGTTTTGTTCCATTGTGCATGGGGGCCCCGTAAATTGGAAACCGATTCGATAGCAGCCACCAAACAACAGCACTGAGTTTCATACTGTGGCTGCTGCCTGCAGGTAACAGCAACAGAAGTTGTGGCAAAGCCCATTCTTTGCAGAAGAATGTCAGGAGTCCCCTTTGCAAAGATAATCTGCCTTTATTCGGGTTCTATTTTTCTTTAATCCGTGATGCATAGTCCCTCTCAACTGACCCAGGAAGTTGGTCTATGCTAATAAAATTTAGGATGCCACAGTGGTGCAGACGGTGAGCACACGCAGCTCTTCACTCCAAGGTTGACTGTTTGAACCTACCCAGAAGTGCCTCCAAAGAAAGGCCTGGTGATCTGTTTCCGAAAAATCAGCCCTGTACACCCGATGGAGCATAGCTCTGCTGTGAAACACATGAGGTCTCCCTGAGTCAGACTGACTGCCCTGGCCACTGGTATTAATAAGCTGGAGAAATATTTTTACGTGTCAGCCGTGCAGGCTTTCAAAGCTTTAAAGATCCTTGTGCTCCCACATGGCTATTCACTGTTCGCAGAAAGGTACTTGACCCTCGTTCAGAGCTCATTGTCTGTACTTGAGGCTTCCCTAAAGGGGCTGGAAAGAACGGATCTGCTTTACTCAGCAGACTCTGTATGTGCCCAGCTCAGCCAGCCAGCTGAGGGCGCACCCTGCAAAAGCTGATTGTGAGAGTCCTTCATGGATTTTTCCCTGTAAGGAGTGTTGTTATTAGGCACCGCTGAGCCCACTTTCCCCCCGTGTGACAGAGTAGCACTGATGGGTAGGGATTCCTGTCATCTTTATGGAAGCAGGTCTCCAGGTCTTCTCTCCCTTGGAGTGAGTGGCTGTGTGGGTTCGCACGTCCAACCTTTGGTTTAGCTGTGCAACACTTAACGGTGGCGCCACCCGGTCTTCCCTCTAAGGAGCCCCACTCACTGTAGTCGAGTCTGATCCGACTCGCAGCAACCCTGTAGGACACAGTAGAACAGCCCCATAGGCTCTCCCAGACTGGAAATCTTTACAGAAGCAAACTGCCTCATTTCTGCACACACCTTTCAGTTACCAGCCCAACGTTAACCGGGTGCCACCAGGTTCCTCCGTAGGCAGTGGTGTTGGTTGTCCACACCTCAGGGTGGAAGACACAGGTTGTCCACACCTCAGGGTTGTAGACACAGGTTCCAGGGAGCTTTAGAAACACGGTCGTGTCACACAGCGGGTAACAGACCCCACAGGGATTTGATCCCGGGGCTCAAGACACCACCAGGGGTTATTTAAACACCAGCCTGCTATCTTCAAGGCTACTACTTGGAGAATCAAGAGCCTTGGTTGCATAGCAGTTAAAACACCCAGCTGCTTACCAAAAAGGTCGGCAGTTCAAAACCACACAGCGGCTCTGCGGAAGAAAAGGCCTGGAGGTATTCCCTGGTAAACGTCACTGCCTAGGAAACCCTGTGGGCACATCTGCTCTGCACATGTGGGGTCGTGAGTGGAAATGGACTCCACAGCACCTGATTTACGTGAACAGCAAAGATGTGTGGCTCGGTCCTTCATTTAGTATTTCTGCTCAAGGGTCTTTGTGTACGAGACAAAACGAACACAGTGGCTGTTGGAGTCAACCCCAATTCGTGGAGACCCCATATGTGCAGAACTACTGGTGCTGTAGGGTAAACACTGCCTAGCTAGCCACAAGGTCAGCAGTTCAAACCTACCAGTTGCTCCTTGGAAACCCAGTACAGGGTAACTATGAGTCGGAACCGACTCCATGGCCCTTCACAACAATAGGTTATTCAAGGCTGTGGCCTTTTGGAAGCATGTTTCCAGTGTTTTCTTTTGAGGTATCTTTGGATAGATTCGAACCACCAACCTTTTGGTTAGTAGTCGAATGCCTAACCATCTGTACCACCCAAGGACTCCTGTACTTTATCCACGACGACTCCATAAAGCCCACCCTGGAAGGAGCACAGCCAGAATCACCTTAGAATCCTGGATGGCGAGACTTTGTCTCTCATACTTCGGACATATTATCAGGAGGGACCAGCCCCTGGAGAAGGATATCATGTTTGGTAAAGTGCAGGGTTAGCGAAAAAGAGGAAGACCCCCCCCCTCCCAACGACGTGGGTTGGCACATGACTACAACAGTGGGCTCAAACCTAGAACACTGGTGAGGATAATGCAGGACCAGGCACTGGATCCCTTCTGTTGTACACGGGGTCGCTATGAGTTGGAACTGACTTGATGGCACCTATCAACAACTCCATAAATCAGCACCTCCGGATCCCCTCTGTCCACTTACCACCATCTGACCCTTGGCACATGCATTTATTCCTTTATTGTGCCCACCCTTGCTAGAGCAAAATTGATTTGACCACTAGAATGTTAAGTTTAAGCCGGGCAGGGACATTATGTGAGTCCCTGTCCCCTGGGGTCACAGTGTCTGAGAATTTCCAGACCGTTGACCTACCTCTTCTCGGTTGAGACGCACAGGACACTTAAGATGTAGGGTTGCATCTTTGACTGGACGCCAGCCCCTGGCCCCAGACTCTGCCCATTGCTGCTGTTAGTGGCCAAGTTGGCCCCCAACTCATGACGACCCCGTGCACAGTGGATCCAAATGCCACCTGGCCCTGTACCATCTTCATGATCATTTGCAGACGGACCATTGTCATCCGTAGGATTTTCACTGGCTGATGATCAGAAATTGATTGCCAGGCCATTCTTCCTACTCCGTCTTAGACTAGAAGCGCCACCGACAGGTGGGTGTTGACTGCGCATGATGGGTGGGACTTGAACCCAGGTCTCTAACATGGAAGGGGAGGCTTCCACCCCCTAGCCAAGTGCCTCTTGTATGTGTGTGGGGTGGAGGGGGCCGTGGTAGAAGGGGAGAAGGGAGAGGGGAGATGGCGTGAGACTCGAGCCCCCCTTTGCTCTGCCTGTCTGTAGGGTTGAAGCTACCCTCCCGGACCTGGTCTCCGCCGTTTGAGTCGGAGGGCACCCAGAAACACAACCAGACCGAGTATGAGGAGACGACTGGCGAATGCTGCTCCTGCCCCAAGACAGACTCCCAGATCCTGAAGGAGCTGGAGGAGTCGTCCTTCCGGAAGACATTCGAGGACTACCTGCACAATGTGGTGTTTGTCCCCAGGTCTGACTGCTCTTGGTGTGGTGTTGATGTGGTGCTTGCTGGCGGGGGGGAGGGGGGTGCAACACAGTGAATCAGGGCCCTGAACCACGGGTGGTGGGTGCCTTTTGCTGACAGAGAGATCTTGCAGCTGAGTGAGAATGTCCCGGCAAGAACAAATATAACCAGGAAACACGAAGATCTGTTGTAAGGGAACTTTTTACGTCCCTGAGCTTTGCCTCAGTCCCAGACTCCAGGTTTCTGTCTGACTTCTGGAAGGAACTCGGGTAGCTAGAGGAAACTAGTCTGAGAAACTCCTGCCCACCACCTGTTTGATGACCCAGTTCAAACCCGCTGCAGTTTCTTGATGTGTTAGCCAGGCCACCATGTCTCATCCTTCACGGGGGCGCCTCACGGCATCATCAAACGCCAGACACTTCCCCTCTGTGAATAAGCTGAATGTCCCCAAGCCTGTGAAAGGACAGAAAGTCAGGGTTGTGTCTAGCTGATGCCGCTCTTGGTCAACTGTGCAAACCAGTCCCTCTGATGACAAGTCCTCGTCACAGCCACTGGGTCCTATGCAACCTCAGCTCCTCCTCTTACACTGCCAGCCCCCTTCTCTCATGCTGATTCACCCTCCCGCTCTCATCCACACTCACGAAGGGTCAGGTCAGTGGCTACTGGTGTCTGTCTCCACTCATGGGGGGCCAGGTCGGCAGGCACTGGCTCCCACCCCCCAGTGGGGCCAGGTCCACAGACATTGAACCCCCACTCCTAGCTCCCCATCACTCCCACTCACCCAGGGTCAGGTCCATGGACACTGACTGGTCCCTTCTCTTAAGTCTGATCATAGGTGCAATGCCTCACGCACTCCAGGGAAAAAGCAGGACAGAGGATACGGACACCACACTGTCTCCACCCAGGAAACTCCACAGAGCCCCCACCCTCCAAGGCCTTTAGTGGCCTGCCCGCCCCCCCCACGTGGCCACAACAAATGATGTCACCCTCCAGACACTTAGCATCAGCCACAGGTGGGCCCCCCTGGTCAGAGCGCACACATTGTCCTCTGGTGTAGTCGGCTCTCAGGACCCAGGACCAAAGGCCAGACTGTTCACTGCACCACCAGGTGTCCGCATCTCACAGCAAGAAAAGTGACTCTAGCCCTTTCATCTTTTCTTACCTTCCCTGTAAGCAGACACTTAGGTCAAAGGCAAGTCTCTGTCAGCCGATTCACAGACCTTTGTGCATTTAGGTTAGATGGGTCCTTCCCACCCACAATTCCCTCTGAGTTCTGCATTCAGAATTTCTATCCAGCTCTTTTACCTCCTCATTTCTTCCTTTTGCTTTAGCATCTCTACACTGGAGAGCAAGTTTCAGAGTCTCTTCTGACATCCACTTTGGTCTTTTCCTTCTTTCTTATCTTCTTAATGACCTTTTGTTTTCTCTCTGTATGATGTTCTTGATGTCATCCCACAACTCTTTTGGTCTTTGGTCCAGTCATTAGTGTGTAATTCATCAGATCTGTTTTTGAGATGATCTGTAAATTCAGATGGGATGTTTTGGCCCTCACAGACTTGTTTTCATTTTCTTCAGCTTCAGCCTGAACTTGCATATGAGCAATTGATGGTCTGTTCCACAGTCTGCTCCTGGTCTTGTTTTGGCTGATGATATGGAGCTTTTCTACCGTCTTCTTTCCACAGATGTAGTCAGTTTGATTTCCATGTATTCCATAGGGTGAGGTCCATGTGTATACTCGTATTTTATGTGCCTGATCCAAGCCATGGTATTTTCAGTCACCTCATATGCATGTGAAAGTAGAACAGTGAATAAGGAAGACCGTAGAAGAACTGGTACATTTGAGTTATTTTGGAAGAGAATATTAGAAGTACCATGGACTACCAGAAGAACAAACAAATCTGTGTTGGAAGAAGTAAAGACAGTTTGCATCTTAGAAGCCAGGATGGCAAAGCTTCTCTTACTTGCCCATGTTCTCAGGAGGGACCCGTCCCTGGAGAAGGATGTCATGCTTGGTAAAGTGAAGGGTCAGCAAAAAAGAGGAAGACCCCCAACAGGATAGACTGGCACAGTGGCAGCAGCAGTGGGCTCAAAGGTAGCAAACATTGTGAGGGTGTGGAAGGACCGGCAGTGTTGTATGTCTGTTGTGCGTAAGGTTGCTGTGAATCTGTATCAACTTGAGGACACCTAACAACAACAGTGCAGTCCTGGTGTGGTGCTGTGGGTTAATGCGCTGGACTGCAAAGGTTGACGGGTCAACCTTACCAGCCACTGCTCGGAAACCTTATACAGGGGCCACACTAGATGTCGGAACTGATTTGACGGCACTTAACAACAACAACAACAACAATGATAGTTGAGTTTCCAAGGAGCAGCCTGTGAGTTTGAACCACCGACTTTGGAGTTCAAACCGACCTTGAGGTCTAGTGCTTATCCTACAGCGCCACACCAGGACTCCTGAAGATTAGGATGTTATTGTTGTTGTGATGTGCTGTGGAGTCAGTTCCGACTCATAGCAACCCTGTACAGGGTTTCCGAGGCTGTAAATCTTTACGGGAGCAGAAAGCCTCACCTTTCTCCCGCAGAACAGCTGGGAGTTTTGACCTGCTGTCCCTGAGGTTCGCAGCCCGATTCTTAACCACTACGCTACCAGAACTCCTTGAAGATTAGGACAGTCGATACATATTTGGGCCGGGACAAGGTTGAGCCTATAACATGAGAGTTGTGTCCAGATTGGTGTAGCTCTACCTGTCCCCTCCTACCTCTCCACTAAAACTTTGGTCAGGTGAAAAGTTGTAAGTTTGAGCCCACCCAGAAGCACCTTGGAAGAAAGGCCTGGCAAACAGCAGCCACTAAAAACCCTGCAGAGTGTAGTTCTACTCCAACACACCTGGGGGCACCATGAGTTAGAGTCAAGTTCAGGAAAACTGGTTTCTACCCGATAAGTTTGAACGTCAATGAGTTGGAGTCAAGTTCAGGACAACTGGTTTCTACCCAGAAACGTCTCATACCACCTGCCAGTTCCCAAGCGAAAGGAAACCACGGAAGGTTTAGGTTGAGAATCCAGTAAGATTCAAAAGTCCGTCCCTCCAGATGTGCACCAATCGCCGCCCATCCAACGGAGCGTTTCCTCCGGAACCATCCGTGTGGAACGTATTGTGTTGTTTGTTTTCTCTCTTGCACCTCCCCCTGCGGCCCAGGGTCCAAAGAGGACTCAGTGGCACAACCCCACCATCAGAAGCCCAGTGCCACCTGACGCGGGCATCACAGAGCCATCGTGACGTTGCTACAGTCAGGCTTGAGGCCGTAGGCCTCAGCAGCCCAGGTCTCTGGGGAAGTAGGGCCAGGCGTATCCACCCTCCGCCCCAGCTGGCTCCTCTCCACTGTCCAGTGATGGCCTAGGGTAGGGCTCTCTGGAGGTAAGAATCATTAGGTCTGTCCGCAGAAGGTCCATCTGTTCTCAGAGCTGTTGGCTTTTTTTGTCACAGAGAAGCCTCTTCAGCCTCTGGTGCTGAGGACTCTAGGTACGGCTCACCTGGGACATGTCCGTCCAGGGCCGTCAGTCCAGGCAGGCGGAAAACATACTTTGTGCCTTAAAGATCCTGAGGGCTTCTGGGGCATGAAATCAGGATGAGCTTAACTAACACACTCTTCTTAAAATGTAGCCTCCATGGAGTCCTGAATGGGCACCTCCCAGATAGACGGCACTTTCCCCCCCATCCACTCACTCACTAAATATTTATCCACACCCACCGTGTGCACAACACTATGCCCCCTGGCACCAGTGAGTCAGAGACACATGAGGGGCCCCACATCAGCAGTTTATACTACAGCGGGAAAGACTGATAGGGAAGCATAACATTTTTCTCTGGGGTGACAAGTACAGGCGTGCTTGGTAGCTGCATTCCACGGAGGAGGGTCAGGGAGGCTTCCTTCTGCGTTGTATCTTAAAGAATGAAGGAAGGGGTGTTGGCTCAGAGGTGAGGAGCGGGGAGGCATTCCAAGCAGAGAGAGCGTGGGCAGAGCCAAATAGGTGGGAACAATCAGGGACTCCTGGGTAACTGTGAGGGAAAGCACTGGAGACCCCAATGGAAAGACAGGTTGGGGCCCTCTGAGGGCATTTCTTCTTGGAGCTGAGTAGTTTTTTAAATTCAGGGATATACGTGGCTCGATCTGACCTCTAGTGGCCGTTTGGAATATAATCTGCAGTCGGAATCCACTGTCATCTATTTCGACTCAGCGCCATCACCTGGGGCAGAGTAGAATGTCCTGTTGGGTTTCCAAGACTACAAATCTCTGTAGACGGAGACTGCCACATCTTCCTCCTGCAGATTGTGGCTGGAAGGTTCAGACGGCAGCTGAGTGCTGAACCAGTGTGTCACCAGGGTTCCTAGCACCCCAGTAGGACAGAACAGAACTGTCATCTGGACAGCAGTAGATCATCACGATTTTCTCCCTCGGAGCAGCTAGTGGGTTTGAACCACTCACCTTTCTGTTAGTATCCACCTCCTTAACCACTGAGACACCAGGGCTTGTTGGAGTAAGGAAAGACTTAGACACTTGTGGCCTTGATTAAGACCAGGATTTCTTGCCCTTGGCACATTGGATAGTTGGGATTTGAAGGTTCTTTGCCGGAGGACAAGGGGTATCCTGTGCACTGTAGGGTGTTGAGCAGCATCTCTGGCCTCCACCCACTTGATGCCAGAAACTTCCCACTTACCCAGTCTCAACAACATGGATGTCTCCAGTTGTTCCCTAGGGGCACGACTTCTCTGGGTTGAGAATCCCTAGACGAGTGGCTAATTCAAGTCCACCAGGTAGCACCTTGGAAGAAAGGCTTGGAGATCTATTTCCCAAAACTCAGCCACTGAAAACTCTCCGGAGCACAATTCTACTCTGATGCAGCGCAATCTATGTCCTCGAGAAGCCCAGTACAAAATATCATCAATCTCACTCAATCACTTTAATGATCAATTTCTAATTTAGAGAATTAGACTTGGGAGAGTGTCACCGGACCAGGCACTGTTTTTGTTCCATTGTGCATATATACGGTTGCTATGAACCAACTCAGCAGCACCTAAGAACAATAAACATTAAAGAGAGAGAAATAAAAGAGACCTCTTATAAAATGAGAAACAGAAACACTTCTTCAACAAGATTAACTGATCAAATACTAGACTATTAGCTCAAAGGTTGTCAGTTCAAAGCCAACCTGAGGGGCCTCAGAAGATAGTCCAGACAATCTAATTCCAAGGGATCACAGCTTTAAAAACCTGATAAGGCAGTTCTGCTATGTGTGTGTATCGAGAAACAGAGGGAGAGACACCTGGTGTGGCATTGCAGGATAACGCGCTGGACCACAAGATAAGTTTGAACCTCAAGGTCAGCGATTCAAACTCACCAGCCACACCTCAGAAACTCGATACAGGGTCTCTATGTGTCAGAACCAACTTGATGGCCCTTAACAACAGCATACACATGTATTGTTAATAACTTTGGTTTTGTTCCACATTTTCTCCCATTCTATCCAGGTCCTTCTAATGGGATCCCTTTCAGAGCAGTTGATAGTGGTAGCTGGGCACCATCTAGTTCTTCTGGGTCTCAGACTTGTGGAGACTGATGGTCACATGGTCCACTGGGCTAGCTGATTCCAAGCCTCTTCAATTCTCCTCACTCTTCTTTCTTGGAGAGACCAATAGCTGCACTGTGGACAGCTGCTCGTGAGCTTTTAAGATCCCAGCTACTATTCACCAAAGAAGGATGGAGAAGATTGTCTTTGTGGATGCCAGCATCATTCTTAAAGCTCTTCCTATCAGAGTTGGGACTAAGGAGGCCTCACAGAGTCATGGTGGCTGCAATGCTTGGCTCAAACACAGTGAAAACTTGAGGCTGGTACAGCAAGGTCAGCAGTTCGAAACTTCCAGTGGTTCCGCGGGAGAAAGATGAGGCTTTCTGCTCCCGTAAAGATTTACAGCTTCGGAAACCCTGTGTAGGGTCGCTATGAGTCGGAACCGACTCCACGGCACATAACAACAACAACAACAGGATCAGGCAGTCTTTTATTCTGTTGTATATAGAGTCACTAACAGACTTGGCGACACCTAACAACAACAGCAACAAAAATCTCACCATTGGTAATTAACATTTCTCATGGTGTCTGGCTAGTACAGTAAGACTTGAAACAAACTCGAATTGTAAAATATTGGCTGTGGGAAATGAAATGATTGATATTTGCAGATAGATTGTGTTTTACATCGATTAAAGAGAACTCACTGGCAAAAGCAAACGGGTAAATTGTATAAGGCAGCAGATAAAGAGTTAATAGTATTAACGAATAAGCAGTTCTGGAATTGTGTCTTAATTGGGGTTTTCTTACACACTGAACTCAAGTGAAGAAGACTTGAAGCGATATGGATTACACCAAAACATAAAGAAAATGAAAATCCTCGCGACAGGACAAATAAGCAACGTAAAATAAATGGAGAAAAGATTGAAGTTGTCAACGATTTCATTGTACTTGGATCCACAATCAAGACCCATGGAAGCAGCAGTCAAGAAATCAAACAACATATTGCATTGGGCATATGTGCTGCCAAACACCTTTCATAAATGTTTTTAAAAAAACCAAGCACAAAGCAAAGATTAACACTATGGGATTTTCAGTCACCTCATGTGAAAGTTTGTTGTTGTTAAGTGTTGTGGGGTCAGTTCCAACTCATAACAAGGAGTGGCTGGTGAGTTTGAACCACCGACCTTGAGGTTCAAACTGACCTAGTGATTGGGTGCTTATCCTAGAACATCTGCAGAAAAACCGATGCATTTGAATGATGGTAGAATTATAACATGGAATGCCTGATGATCGAACAGATTTGTCTTGGGGGCAAAGTACAGTTGGAATGTTCCCTGGAAGTGAGAATGGCGAGACGTCGTCTCACATACGTTGGCCTTGTTAGCAGGAAGGACCCGTCCCTGGAGAAAGACATCATGCTTGGTAAAGCAAAGCATCAGCGACAATGAGGAAGACCCTCAATAAGATGGCTTGACATGGTGGCTGCAACAATGGACTCAAACATAGGAGATATTTCGAGGATGGTGCAGAACTAAGCAGTGTTTTGTTCTGTTGTATGTAGTGTCACTACGAGTCAGAACCAACCCAACAGCACCTCACAACAACAACATCTGATCACATGGAGTTACTTCATAACGTTAATTCATTGGGTGACGCAATGGTTCAAGTGCTCAGCTGCTAATCAGAAGGTTGGCGCTTTGAACCCAGCAGTGCTCCGTGGGTGAAAAGACCAGGCAAACTGCTACCATAAAGATTTCCAGCCTAAGCCCTACTCCGACCTTCAGGGTCGCTGGCAGTTGGAATCAGACTGGCGTTTGGCTAAACAGTTGGGCACCACAGCTGGCCTAAGTTGACATATAACATTGGTGGTGATGGTGGTTGTATACCTTCAAGTCGGTTCCAATGCATAGTGACCCTGTATAGGGTTTTCGAGGCTGTAAATCTTTATAGGAGCAGAAAGCCTCATCTTACTCCCAAGGACCGGCTGGTAGAGTCGAACTACTGACCTGGCAGTGAGCAGCTCCACTTATAATCCACTACACAACCAGGGCTCCTTCCATGTAACATTTGCCATCATAAAGTAAAGGACTAGAACTTCATGGAAAATAGACCAAGCACATGCAGGACTCATTTCCTGGAGGAACACACAAAACCCATAGAGGAGAAACAGAGCTTAGGGTCAGTAATAAAAACCAGTACAGAAGAAGCAGCTCTGGTAACGTAGTGGTTACGAATCGGGCTGCGAACCTTAAGGTCAGCGGTTCGAAACTACCAGCCGCTCCGCGGGAGAAAGATGAGGCTTTCTACTCCCGTAAGGATTTACACCCTCGGAAACCCTGTACAGGGTCGCTATGGGTCGGAACCGACTCGACGGCACTTAACAACAACAACAACAACAACAACAGAAGAAGCAGATACTAGTTTTTATTTCTTGGTTTGGAAATCTAAAGTTTCCTGCCGGCCTTCTGTGTTGCGGAGGTTGGTCTTGAGGTGCAGCTTTCAGACCACAATCTAGCCAAACACGTTAAGCTTAAAAGGTTTCTTTTCCCTTTTGGATTCTTGATTTCCCTTCCAGGAATCTACTTTCAGGAACTCATAACACAATTACATAGCGTCCCTGGGTGGTACAAATGGCTAAGCTCCTGACTGCTGACTGAATGCTTGGTCATTAGATCTCTCCGGAGAGGCACCTCAGAAGAAAGACCGGGCAATCGATCTCCAAAATCACAGCCATCGAAAACCCTGAGGCATGTACTTCTACTCTGACATCCATGGGGTCACCTTGAATGAGAAGTCGCTCAAGGACAACTTTAAAAAAAAAATTAGATGGTTATAGCAATATTTATAACATCAAAACAAAAGTTGAGAATACTGTCATACTGAAAAATAAGAGAGTGGTAAGGTAAATAATGGATCGTGTGCTAGTTGGAGTAATTTACAGCCACTCAATGCTTTTGAAGATATTGTCATTGTCATTTCTGAAAGAGCATGCGCCATTTTTGTAATGAGGGGAATGACCTTAACATTGACAAAGAAAGTAAAACAAAACAACAAAATACACTCAAATCCCATCCTGCTGAAAGCATTAAGTTGTAAGGAAACTATTTGATGTCGTGGAAAAATGCTTTTGATATATAAGAAATGAAAACAAGAGGGCGGGTTAAAAACAAAGTTCATCCTAATCATGCTCACAAAATAATTTTTTAAGCGCCCCCCCCCCAAAAAAAAAGTAGGCCGTGCAATTACTAATTTAAATGTTTTTCTTTTACTTTCATTGTTTTTTAAATTACCAGGCTGCCCACGTTTGTTTCCTTTATTCAGTGGACAGGCACGTCTTGCTTTCCAGGTCTCTTCAGGTTCTCCACCTTTGACAGGGCATACAGTCTTTCCATTCGCCTTAGTGGAAAATACTTTAGTTCTCCGCTGACAGGTTTCTGCCTGACTTTTGACGTTACTCCGCATCTTTTTTACCCCCCTCTGTCCCTTTTTATTTAAAGTGTAACACAAATTTGTATCACTTCAGCTACCTTGAAGTACTTAATTCAGTGGTATTAAGTAGATTCACCATGTGCACAGCTACCATCATGCACTCTGTCTCTAAGTGGGAGCCCTGCCCC